ATTTCCTAATCCATAAAGACAGAAAAATTGCTGAAGTCACTCATCATCAAAAACTTTACTGAACCACCTGATCTAAAATCAAACCAGCTTTTCAGTCTAAGTCCCTCTGCAAATTATATATGACTTCTGCCACAGTCCAGAGTAATACCGCTCTGAATGCACAGAGAATCATGGCCATTCTAGTTTTCAATTGTTGACAGAAGTCTGTGTTGTTTGTTTGTTTTCCTAATCAACATTTGGTGTGCACTCCAAGGCATATCCGTGACGATGCGCTGCCAAGGAACACCCGACTTGGGGTGATCCTAGCAGGGTTTCTGAGGCATATGAAATATCTAAGGAATTATTTTATTAGTGCCTCTCCCTGCCTCTGTGTGTTTATATGGTCAAGTGGAGATTTGAACCCATGTCTCCTGAATTCTAGTCCCTTGCTTTATCTACTGTATACCACACTGGCTGTCTCTGCATGTCTAGCCAGAAGTTTACAGGTAACTAAGGGTAATAGAGCAATCAGACAAAAGGTTTTCTAATCTGCAAATGGCGAAACTTTCCAGGATTTTCTAGGTAGAGAATACTCAAAAGTGCTTTACCATTCCCTTTATCTGGGGGTGTCCTGGGACTGTGCAGCTTGCCCAAGGCCACACAGGCTGGCTCTACTCACAGCAGGCACAGAAGTGAATTGAACCCCTGACCTCTAGCTCCACAGCCAGGAACCTAAACCATGGAGCTGTCCAGCTAGTTCTATATTGTAGTATACAAACCTACTATCTGTTTTTACAAAGGATTTTTACATGTTATAGGGTTAGGGGTGACCTCCTAGGATCCCTTCCAGTTCTGTTTCTGTTTTTGGAAAAAAAGGCTCTTCAAAATGTTCAAACTGGTCCTGCAAGTTTAGTCTGGCAAATTCCTTTCTGTTATGGAGATTAGTCATGGGCTTTTCTTGGCAATGGCTTGCAAATACCGGAATAAGATGTCTCTGGATTCCTTTTTCCCCACTCCCATCTCCTCAAAGAATGTGGTAATTCAAGGCAGAGAACAGATCAGAATGACAACTTTTGTGGGCAGAGGAGATCAGAAAAAAGAAGAGATGGTTGAGTTACTCTCTGCAGGGACTAAATATTCATTCATTCATTCATTCATTCATTCTAGAGCAGCCATTCTTCTGGGGCCCATTTCTCCTGGGGGAGCCACAGACTGGAAACAATTCTTCACAGTATCACCTTATAAGGTTTGTTATGTGATACAATCCTGATCTGGTCCATATTTCTTTCATATTGTGTTTATGGAATCCTGATCTGGTCCATACTTCTTTCATATTGTGTTTATGGCCATGGTAAAAAAAAAAGGCTGAGAATGACTGTTCTAAAGCCACCCCTATCAGTTTAATCAATACACCCCAGGGAGAGGTATAATCAATGCAAAGAACTGATCATAAAACAAAAAGAAACCAATAACCTCAAAATCAGTATAGAAATAAAATCAGCAAGATACCAGCCTGGTCCATACTTCTTTCATATTGTGTTTATGGCCATGGTAAAAAAAAAAGGCTGAGAATGACTGTTCTAAAGCCACCCCTATCAGTTTAATCAATACACCCCAGGGAGAGGTATAATCAATGCAAAGAACTGATCATAAAACAAAAAGAAACCAATAACCTCAAAATCAGTATAGAAATAAAATCAGCAAGATACCAGCACCCCCTTCACCCTCAAACTCTTGTGGAGGAGCAGAAACTATGAGGCAGTAAGCTGTGAATCTGCACTTCTGCTCACCTGCATCTTTGTAAAAGCAACCACTAATAATTGAAAATTTCGACATCCCTCTTGTGATCTCCTTCCAAGAAAAACCCAAGCTAAATAACGTTGCAGCTCTGAAATTCCCACCAGGCAATTCACGCAACCCAGGCATCTGTAATGACAGATCTGAACAAGTCACACATGATTAAGCTGGGCAGGCCAGACACTGACTAAGTGCTCCTGGGCACTTCCCATTGAAGCGAACGGGAGCGATGTAGAAGCACCATTTTTTTTCCTACTTGTGGTTCTGCACTTCGGATCTCGTTGGACTGCAATTCCCATCAATCGGCTGTGCTGGCGATTGCTGGGTGATGGTAATTGCACTCTTAACATCTGGAGAAGCACACGTTCCCCCCGCCTGTTTTTTTTTAAAAAATACCTTTCTTATTTAGTACACCCTACACCGATCTTCCCCAACCTCATCTAGGGGTGATGGGAACTGTAGTCCAGTTTATCAGGCTGGCGGGGGTGGTGGTGGTCTGCAGAATCTCAAGGAACGGTCTGGAACTCCAGACAGGGTTTAAGTGATCGCGAGTTCGCAGGGGCCACCTGTTTGTTTGTTTGTTTGTTTGTTTGTTTGTTTGTTTGTTTGTTTGTTTTGTTTGTTTTCCTGGCAGGAATGAAGGAGGTAAACGTCCCCCTGCCAGGCTTTTTAAAATGAGCAAAGACACCAAGAAAAAAAGGGGCGGGTCCGGGCGGGTCCCCCACGCGGTGCTTCCAAAAGCTTTCCGGCCAGAAGTAGAGAAATGGGAATTTTACGCACGGCCGCATCAACACCTTCTCCCCCCCCCCCCCCCCCGCGCTTGCGCCCGCGGCTCTTCGGTCCAGGCTTCTTGACTCCGCCTTCCCGAGATGAAGGGGTCTCTGACCAATCAGGAGGCTGATGGGCGTGGCTCCCAGGCTGTACACAGCCACCACGTGGAGCTGGGGTGGAGACTGGCCTCGGCCGAGAAGGGGAGAGTCTCGCCCCCGCGCTCGCTTCTTTCAGCAAGGCGGAGTGGCTGGCTAGGAGGGACTGCCTCGCCGGCAGCCCGCCGATCCCCTGCTTCCTCGCCTCTTCGGCCGGGATTTTAAAATTCAAAGCAGATCCTCCGCAGGTTCCTTCTGGACTCCGCCCAAAAAAGTAACTTGGCTCCCGCATCCCCGGCGGGCCGCCAAGCAGAGGTGCTCGCTGGGGTTCTCCATCCTTTCCCAGCGCTGCCATGGAGGCGACCGAGCGCTCTCGGTCCGCGGCGGGTCCCCTTTTCCCCGGCCACGGAAGGCAAGGGACGGCGTCGGGGAAATAATCCGAGACCAAGGAAGGGATCGCCGGCCGGGGCCAAAGAGGAGCGGGGAGCCAACCGCTCAGCCCTCTCCGAGACGCGTGGCGGTGGCGGTGGAGAGCCTGCTCGTTTCCTTTCCCGGCGCCGGGAGCATCCTGCGGGGCGGCTCTGTTTCGCCCGGGGCCTGCCTCTGTCTCTCGGAAAAGGCAGGGCTCCGCCGCTGGAGAGGCGGCCGCGAAGGGGGGGGGAATCCCTTCTCTGCGGCTGGGTGGTGGCGGCGTCCAGGCGTGGCTTCGGGAGGGCTCGGCACCTAAGCTCCGCTCTCGGCCCGCCAGCCTGATGGCAACGTGTGGCGAGGCGCCCGGCGAAAGAGGGCGAGACAACCACCACCGGGTAAGAGATTATGCGGGGGGGGGGGGACCGTGGCCAGGATCGGGAGCCGGCTTAGCCCCGGAACCTCGCTCTTCGGCACCGAGGCTTAATTAATTAACCCTGGGAAGATTCAGAGCTGCCGTTTCCACTCGGGGCTACAGCCTTGCAGATGTTAGGAAATCGGGACTCGCAGCAAGGCGGGTAGTGAGTGGGGTGGGCCGGTGGGGGGGAAGATGTATTCCAGCACTCCACTGGGCCCCCCGTTGGGGTTACTTTAAAGTTGCGGCCAGTGTGTGTGCTTCCCAGAAGATGGCTAGCTCCCGATGACTTCCGAGCAACGTTGCATGGGCTGGACTTGGGGGTTGCAAAAGAAGTAGGGCCTCTGGGCTTATGCAGATTTCCTTTTTCTGTCGCAGCTAGTACCGAGTAAACTTGCATAGACTCCCGTCACAGGTGAAATAGCAATTCTGAGCATGTCTAAATGTCAGCATTGCAGGCAGGCAGCTTTTTCATACACACACATCAGAGATTAGGGAAGAGTGGTACCAAGACAAGTAACATAATATCTGGTGAGTGGTTTTAGTGCCACTTAACAGCTGTATGAGAAATTAATAACATTTCTTGCATTTTCTGCTCTCTGTGTTGGTGAGTGTACTTTACATGCATCTTGTAAGGAAAGTCAGCTTTCCCTGGAGCCAGGTGCAAACAGCTTGTGGCACTTGGGATGTTAGACTACAACTCCCATAAACCCTTGCTATCACAACCGCTAGTGATGGATGATAAGAATGGGAGTCTGCCAACATCTGGAGTACCACAAGTTCTTCATTCCTGCCTATGGCGCGTTGGGGAGAAACAGGCTGTGATAGAGAGCTTGTCTAAAAGCCACCCGAACGAGAAATCCATGGCACAAGCGTGTCCCAAAGCAGGGATTTGCACGTGTCCAGCTCAGTGCTTGTCCATCAGCAAGGTGGTTGGTTTTGACTACCCTGGAGGGAGAGGGGAGAAGCCCTGGAGTGGCCTTGGTGCTGCCAACTTGGAGCACTCCTTTGTCCAAGGATAACAGTGTTCCTAAATTAGTGGCAGTGTTGGGATCCCCGTTTGCTGAGAGTTCGTCCTGTTGTGTTTCAGACACAAATTGGGTAGCAATGTAGCCCCCGCCCCAAAAAAAAGACTTGCAAGGTGATTTGAGCGGAGAGGACAAACCATGAAAAACCCCATGGGGCAGGCCCAAGACACCTGGAACATCCAAAGGACAACACCAGTGCCCTCCTGATAAATAACAGGACAGAGTTTTCACAAGCTTCACTCAAAATGGAAAAGAAATTGGCTGTCAAGTGAGCTTGCACAGGAATATTTCTCTGTCCCCCTTCATAAAGTCCCAAGTCTATCATCTGAAATGTATGGTAGGATCTGCACTGGGATCAATGCAGGCAGCTAATCTCTTGGCCTCTGTGAAGTATTCTGCATGTGAAAAGGGATAAGAAATGTGGCACTCTGGGCCTTGCTGAACTCCAACTACCATCATCCTTGGCCACTGACTATACTGATTATAGTATAATCAGTATACTGGGAGATGAAAGTCCAGCAGCATCTGGACAGAGACACATTGCCTGCCACTCACATACATTTTATCAGTAATAAGGGCTCCAGTAAGTTCTGTGCAAAACAGGGTGTCCTTGTAAGGCTGCAGAGCAAGTATCCTAATTCAGAGGTAAATCCCACTAATTTCCCCCCTAGATTTCTCCCTCCTAGTAAGGGGAGAAGAAGTCTTATGGGATCAAACACTCATTGCTAGCCAAACTGTGTTTTATATAAAAGAATGAACAGTGCCACCCTGATAGGATTTTTAAAATTCATAGTTAGTAATAAGTTAGCCGACTTCTCACCCAGCTCTTGCTCCTGTTCGTTTAGCTAGAAGCTCGCTTGAGGAAATCAGTAAGTAAAGCATATGTTTTTAGGCCATGGGAAATCGTTTGCTGATTTCTGCAATTTGGTCAGTTCTTAAAGACACAGGAGAAGGCTAGGGGGTTGTTTGGTTCCGGTCTGTTGGCAACTTGAAATTATGAATGAGACTTATAGACCCCATGGTCCCTCTTTCTCATAGACCCAATACGGGGAGCTCTGCCCTTTTCAGGAAACAGCCCTGTGCGTCTGTCTGCACTTCCGTTTTTCTGGGTTTGTTTACCAGATAGATAATTGGTACTTACAAGTTTGTACTTATCTACAGAGTTTTGTATAAGAAGCATCCATTAAGACTGGTCCTCATGGAGGAGTGCACCGATATGGCATGAGACAGGGAGGCAAACCTTGCCCCCTCATGCTCTGTTTGTCACCTAATGTATAAGACCTTGGAAGGGGAACCAAGGCCTTCAGGAACAGGCCCCGATTTCACATCTTACACACCATAAAAAGTGGATGGACACATCACATGATAAGGTGTCTGAATGTACAGGCATATAAGTCTTACTTCACCATCCAGGTTCTTCATCCAGCAGATTATAGGATTCTCTGGGTGGTGTTTTAGGTGTCTGGTTGCGGGATCAGAGGTTGGGAGTTTGATTCCCCACTGGGCCCCCTTGACATGGGCTAGACTTGATGATCCATTGGGTCCCTTCCAACTCTGTATTTTTAAAATGATTATGATGACAAAAGCCCTGTTGTCTTTTTCTCGTATGCAAGAGATAGTACGATGTAGTGGCCATAGTGTCATTCTAGGGCTTGGGACTTCAGATTTCTAATATTTTTCTGCTGCGAACCTTTCTGAGTGATGTATTCTCGAAGGCTTTCACGGATGGGATCTGATGGTTGTTGTGGGTTTTTCGGTCTCATTGGCTGTGTTCTGAAGTGGGTGACTTTGGGTCTCTTGCCATTTTCCAGCCCAATCTACCTCACAAGGTTACTTTGAGGATAAGGTAGAGAAGAGGAGGGCCATGAACACCTTGTAAACTTTCTTAAATAACAGCAGTACATAAATGTTACAGAGGATGGGGAATTTCCTCCTCCTCAAATAACCTCACTTAGCCCGTGCACATCTTGAAATGAGGACTGATAAAGCTTCTGGGGCAGAAAATGTGGCTGGTCGGCAGACTTGTGCCCCCCACTAGCTTTTCCTTTTAACAGTGAAAGCCCTGAACTCCCTGCAGTCTGCCTGCTCAGCCCGTTTGTGTTGTCATCCGATTCTTGGCAAGTGCTGCCGTCTTCCCTCCAGTTGCCAGGAAGTCTCTCGTCAGCATCTGGCCAGGATGGAGAGGGACAGAAAGGTGCCAGGAAGGGAACACGCACTTCCTGTGTTTCCCTCACCCTGCTGCCTTCTCTCTTCTCTCTCTTTCTTTCTCTTCCTCCCCAGCCTCATCCTGCCCTTTTGCTTTCCCACTGCAGGTCTCTCCAATGATGGATTACAAAGCTGTACTAGCAACACTCTGTTCTCTGGAACCTTGAGGGGCTGTGTTCAGAATCTGGAACAAGTGCGCCTATGGGCCCGTGCCCCACTTTTTACCTATCTTTTGTGCTCCTGCTTTGTTGCCCACTTCCCCCAGATATATCTGGATGCCTGCTTACCAGACAACCATTTGTCCTTGGTCTTTGCTCCAGCACCTCCTCTCCAGCGGCATCAGGTAGACTGCAGCTGAAGTACTAAAAGAGGAGGTCCTTCAAACCGGCCGCAGGCTTGTTGTGTTGCTCCTTAGCCCTCTGGCAGCCCTGAGGGGCAGCAGAGGCAAAAGAGTTTGCCTCAGGGACACGAAATTGGCTGGACGTGTGGCAAAGGGGTTGTGATCTGGCCGTCCCCGAAGTGGCCCATCATTCTGTACGTGTAGCTGCACCTGCAAAGGACGGTCGGAGAAAGAGGACAGCAGGCCAGGATCCAGAGTGGAGTGTCTGGGAAGCAACTCTGCCCACTCAGAACAAGCTGTTTCAGGGGATTTCAATATAGTCTCTCTTCTCCTTTCCAATCCTTTGTTCCTCTTTGCCAGAAGGACCCCGGGGCCCTCATCTCTGGTTCTGAGAGGTAGCAGACATTTCCTTTCCCTCCAAAGAGATAAAAAGATGACTTCCGCTGGGTGCCTCCCTCCTACCTGTCTAGGAAAGAGTGCTTTGCTAACATGGATTGGGTGAGGGCTTCTACGTTGGCAACATGATGTAGACCTTTCTTGAGGCAAAAGTCTCTAAGGGGCCTGAGACAAGCTCCTGGCCTCTGGTGAAACTTTCCTTTGTGGGAATCACTTTGCAGGAGAGAGCAAAGCTCTGGACCTCACTTCTGGCGTTTGCCTCTCTGTTCTTGAAAGACTCTTGGACTGGGCTGGAATTCAAGCGTTCTAACTGAGAAGATTCTGGCTGTCTGAACTGTGGCCGAGAGCCACATGGAAGACCTGGGCAGGTCCACATCGTGGCTGAGGGCCGAGCTGGCCTCCCCTTCTCCATGCCTGCACATCCTTGACTGCCGCAGCCGGGAGCTCTATGATTCCTCCCACGTGGAGCGGGCACTGAGCGTGGCCCTCCCGGGACTGCTGCTCCGGCGTCTCCGTAAGGGGAATCTTTCTGTCCGATCTTTACTGCCTGAACCCCCACAGGATAACCCTGTGTTGCTGTATGATGAGGGGACCCTCCAGCTGCCTCATCCAGGAGGCCAAGAGGAGGATGAAGATTCGGTGCTGGTGACACTGTTGCAGAAGCTGCGGGAAGAAGGTTGCCTGGCCTACTACCTCCAAGGTGGGTGTGCAGAAAAAAGAGTAGTATTTCTGGAGGAAGGAGATAATTAGGAGAAATGATGGGAGTGAGGGGCGGCTGGAACCAGATCCAGGAAGATGGTAGTCACATTGCAGCCCAGAGATGTCTTGTTTTTAAATATGCATGTGTAAGTTGCAACAATATGCATCGTTCCCCTCAACAGAGTATACATGGTTCTTCTCCTTACCACTTTAACTTCACAACAGCAGTTCCCTGAGAAGGGGTACCTGGCTAAAGGTTACCTAGTGAGTTTCATGTCTCAGCAGATGCCCAGTGGATACTGGTCTCTCTCAAGCCCCTTCCTGTCCAGCACCTTCATCACCACACCTGACTTATGAGATAGGACAGATTTCATGTCCACTCTGTAGAATTCTCCATTGCCTCTTGCTTCATCTGGTGGACTCTGTCCCCAGTGGTACCAATGAGCAAGATTCTAGGTGTGCCATACAGTGGGAGGAACATGGCGACGTGAGTAAAAAGGACCAGACTGGAAAAAATAAGTGGAAGAAGATGTGGCTACCTACCTGGTCTTTCAGTTTAGGGGCAGGCTGAATAAAAAGGGAATGTTACAACTGATCTGGAGGCTAAATAAACCCATGGCTTGATCCAGTACAAGTCCACCCCCTACTCTAAGCAGCACCTTGGACCATGTTTGATTTCAGAAGGCAAGCAGAATTGGCCTGGCTAGTACTTGGGTGGAGGAAGAATCCCAAGGATCACCAGATAGAGCTAGGAAAATGATTCTGCCTGAAACCCTGGACAGTTATTGCCAGTCAGAGCTGATAATACTGGGCTAGATGTATACAGTATAATTGTACAGTGGTGCCCCGCATAGCGCCGATCAGCTGTTCTAAAAACATCGCTATGCGAAAATCGGTAAGCGAAACAGCGTACCGATCATCGCAAAGCAATTTTTTACCATTAAAAAACATCGCAATGTAATCGCAAAAGCGATCACAAAAAAGTCATCGCTATGTGGATTCGTCGTTAAACGGGGCGCCCGTTAAGCGAGGCACCACTGTAAATGGTTCACCTTTGTGTCTTATCAGATAGGACACCTCAAAGTGGCTAAGAGAACTGGACATGCAAAATGTTAGACAAAAGCTAATAGAAAATCAAATTATTGGTAGTTAAACAGTACAGCTTAACTAATGAGCACTAAAATCCACATTGCTTAAAACAGTTGGGGCAGGATATCTATGTGAACTCTTGAGTTGGAATGAGGGAGAAAGGGTCTGCTTACATAGATTCAAATTGACAGGTAACCTAGTGGTCTTAGGTTTTCTCTGTGTATCCCTCTGAATATAAAAGGCAGAGACCTTTAGTCCTCCATTTTGGAAAATTCACAATCCATCTGTGAATCCATAACTGTTCCCATCCTGGGCAAAGCACACCCAGACGTTTATTAGTGTGTTAGTGCATAACAAGGAAGGCTACAGATAATATTAGATCCCAGACATAGTTCAGTAGAAACCAAGTTTGGGAGCTTTTCCTAGTGGTTGGGGTATGTGTGTGAACATTTAGAATAAAATCCCACATTCAGCAGGTATCAAAGTTCTCCAGAGTGGAGTCTATTGCTAAGGGGCTACATTTAGTATTCTTTACATCTTACAAAAAGCAAAAGTAGTTGTGTTGGCCATTTAGAAATTGTAAGATATATACTAGTATAATAACTATAGTAGCTATATTAGGTCATCCAAAGGATTGCAAAGACATATCAAACTTTCTAGATTTCCATAATAGAGATTTAGAGAAGAGAGAGAGAGCCAGAGTGGTGGTGGTAGTGTCAGAATATTGGACTAGGACATGAAAATGCTAAGATCAACCTTCTGCTTTGCCAGGAAGCTCAGTGGATGATCTTGGTCCAGTCACAGATTCAGCCTGGGCTACTTCACGGGGCTCTTGTGAAGTTAAAATGGGGAGAAAATAACATACACTATTGTGAACTAACTGGAGGAAACTAATATATCATCATCATCATAAATAAGAATTTTGGGATTATTTTGTGACCAATATGTCTGTTTTTGCTTTTCACAGGACTTGAAAAACATAGTCTAGTATTCTCTGTTGACACCAGTGTGACAGTCCCCTTCACACCAGAAACACACTGCATTCAGAAAGCGTTGTTAGTGATTAAAAATGAAGAATGGCTATGCTGCAGAAGGGATTCTGGAAGCTATAGTCAAAAAGTGTAATTTCCCCAGTTATATCTGGTAATAGCTGTTCCTAATGGTTCACCCCACGATCCTCACAGCGTATCTGGGAAAAGGAAATGAATTCAGTGCTACTAAAGCAGAAATGGGGGATTGCTCACCGCAAGGTACTACTTGTGTTTTGGATGCCTGCCCAAGCATGATTATATTAGAGGCAACAGGGGAAGACAGCTTTGTTGTGCCTCCTTTTCTTGACAAGTCAAGCCAACAATCTTATTCCAGGGCAGGTTTCACGTACCTGGTGCACTCTGGATGTGTTGAACTCAAAACCCCATTATCCAAACACGCATAGGCTAGGGATGATGAGAGTTGTCATCCAATGTGAAATTTGCCAGGATTGAGAAGCTTGCCCTAATTACTTCATTCTACTACAGAAATAACCCCTTAGGGATTGTCACAGAGGTGAGATGTCCTTCTCTGGAATTTTAGATGCTTTGATTGGGGTGTAGTGCCACATCTATGCACAGGCTAATCAAGCCAGATCTTAGCGACTCAGGTTACACTGGGCCCCTAAATATAAAATTAAATAATACACACTTTCTTGGTAATGCTGTCGTGCCTCTTAAACTTGAATTCACTTAAGGTGGAGATGGACAACAGCCACCCCATGACCAACATACAGCCCCCAGGGTTTTTTTTTCTTTTGAAATATGTCTGGCAATTTCCCACGTCCCCTCCAGAGCAGGTAGAGGGGCAATTCTGCCATGTTCTGAGAGGGTCCCAATATTGCTGGCCCTGCCAAGATGCCCACCCCTGGCTTAGGACTTTAGTGTGCCTTAACCTGGGCTGCATGGATGATATTTGTCTAACATGTTTTGCATTGAAAGAATCCTCTACCAGTGGGCTTCAGTGGTTCATTTCTGCATAAAATGCGGACCAGACTTCCCCAGCCCCCCACCCGCCC